TGTGGTGTGCGGTCTCTTCCCAGCTCCTGACCTCCATGAGCCAGTGCCTGAGCCTGGACCCCCTGACCTTCAGCGTCTGGAGGCAGCTGTACACCAAGCACCTCTCTCAGTCCAGGTCGGTTTGCACCTGCCGCCTGCCCGCTGCTCTGAGCAGGGCCAGCACCAACCTGCTAGCATTTAGTAGTGTGTTAAGTTGCTTCTCGGAGCTCCTGACTGAGCCCTGTGTTCTCTTTCCCCCCATAGTTTGCTTCTGAACCATCTGCTGGAGTCCTGGGACAGCAGCAGCAAGAAGGTAGGAATGAGCTGTGGAAAGGAGTTGCATGGAGTGGGGAGACAACATACCTGTGCTGCTGCAGGAGGTCCCTGTGGGACCTGTCTGTGCCCACCTGGCACTGCTCCAGCACACTGGCAGCTCAGCTGGGTCCACTGGTGTGAGTGTCTGTCTGCCAGGCTTGAGAGCCAGCACTTTGTCCTGGGAACAGGCAACATGCTGCCCACAGTCAGGGCATTTATCTGCTCACTGATAGAGAGGAGAGCCCCTTTCCCTCTACGTGCTGCATCAAGACTCAGATATTCTGGATTCAGTCCCCATTAGGCCTCACTGTTCTGGAGCTGTGATGAGTGGGGAGGTCACGCTGGCCATGGCTCAGTGTCCCTAGAGAAGCAGCGCAGCTCCTGCTCCTGTGTGCAGGAGCCTTGGAGGTGTCCCCACAGCCTGATCATCCTGTAGGTCCTCAGTCTTTCTACCCTTCCCGTCTCCTCTCCCTCTGCTCCCTCCTGCAGCCCCTGCGGTGCTGGGTTGTGTGGGCGTGCAGTGCTGCCGGCTCAGGGTGCTTGGTGCCATGACACAGCTCTTGCTTTCCCCAAGGTGCGTCAGTCGCTGCAGGAAACGGTTCGCTCATTCAAAGTAACGAACGAGGAGCTGGTGGCGAGAGGACCCAACAGTGACCAGGACGTGGCCACCTGCGATGCTGCCTGCAAGGTCAGCCCTGGGCAGGGCTGGGATGGGTGGTGCCTGGTGTCAGCTGGCAGCCAGATTTCGGGGTTGTGGTTGGCCTCTCCTGCCACCGGCACGCGCCAGGCTGTGGGCCCCGCAGTGGCACATCTGCAGGACACGCTGAGGACAGATGGTGCTGGCCTTTGTCCATCCTACCAGCTGCTTGGCAAATGACACTGGTTTCCACTGGGAAGCCGGGGGTGGGTGGTGAGAGCAGCTGCGAGCGTGGCAGCGTGCTGCCGGAGGGTGCCACGGCCGCACAGGTACCTCCCCGGCCTCGGGAGCCACATGGCAACGGGGCCTCATCCTCCCACTTATCCAGGAGCTGCTGCGCAAGATGAAGGGCCGGGGCTTCCCCTGGTCGCGGCTGCTGCTCGTCCTCCTGGTCTTCGCAGCTGGCTTCGTCCTGCACGATGTCCGTACACACGGCTCCTTCCAGGGTAAGGCGGCATCTTTGTTCATGGCTCTGCGAGATGCGGAGGCTTGTCCTTGCAGGACATTAACTTTGCCATTCTCCTGAGTGAAGCCCCTCTGCACCCCTGAGTCTGTGTCACTGGCCGCCCTCAAGCACGGTGGCCCCATTGGTCTGTCTTTAAATGGGGGGTGCTTGGGGGGGGTACATGGGCTGCGTTGGGCTGGATGTTCTCAGCAGGCTGCAGACAGACCCCCTGCATGTCCCCTCGCGAGGGTTTCACCCAGGGCTGCCCTAACCCAAGTTTTCTCTCTGATTGGGAGTTTCTGCCCCTCTTTGTCCCATCTTGGAGCATCTTCTGAGATGTTTTGCAGACAAGCTCAAGCTGTGCATCCCCAGAGAGAGGCCTCGGGGACAGACTGAGCGCGCAGCTCCTGCAGACCCAGCCAAAGGTTTGCTCAGGGAATGGCTCTTGTGTCTTCCAGCCTCCTCTTCTGCTCACCTGCTTCGTTCCTCTGGCATCCTGCTGGCCTCGCAGCAAGCCTGGCAGAAGGTCTCCCACTGCTGCCTTGAAGGGTACAGGTCAGTGGCAGCGGTGCTGGATGGCAGCATGTGTGTCTGCGTGGGTGTGGAGCTGTTCTTGCAGCACAAAGCGATCTCTGTAGGGAGCACTCTCTGCTGGGAATGTGTTCTCCAGCTCTGCCTGAAAGGGCTTTCAGCTCTGCTCTTGAGTTCTCTTCTCTTGGCCTGTGGCAGCAGCTCCAGGTACCTACGTGCCCCCATGGCTCCACTGGTGGTGCTGGGGCAGCCAGCGCTGCCCTCAGCCAGCACTTGCTCTCTTCCAGGTGGCTGGAGAGGAGCCTGCCGGTCTATGGCTCCCAAGTGGCAGCAGTCCTGCAGCCGCAGCTGGAGCTGCTCTGGGTGAAGAGTGGTGAGGTGGCCCTGTATGTGTGCGAGCAGTGTTCTGCCCTGCTCTCCTGGATCCACGACAGCCTGCCCTGGTTCATTGAGTGGGTAAGAAGGATGTCCCAGCTGCCTGGAGAGATGAGGAATGCCAGCGTGGCCGCAGCCTGTGGGGGCTTGTGAGACTGAAGAGCCCATGTCGGGGGTGCCTGCCAGGTGGCAACACCAAGGGCAGGAGGTGGGGGGAGAGGCCCAAAGGAGGAGGGCAACAACACTGTCGGTGCTGCCCCGGCCATTGGCTCAAGCCTGCCGGTGCTGGTGAGCCTGGGGACAGGGAGGCACTGCAGCCCGTCTCTGATGCTGTTCTTCCCCCATGGCTACTGCTCACCCTGGCTGCCTTCCAGCTGCCACCAATGACTGTCAGGTCTAAAAGGGAGGGGTCTCAAAGATAGCTCACTAGTTTCCTGAAAATCATCAGTTTGGTGGAAGAGGGGTGACTTTAGCGTCCCACAGAGCAAGCAGCGTGGGTACTGTGTCTGTGCTGTTTGGTGGAGACGTGCTGTGCCCAAGCCAAGCGGTGAATGTGGGGAGGGCTTGGTGATGCCAGACCGTGGAGGGAGAGCGTGGAAAGGGGAGGGAGTGGGACTGCCTGGTTTGGCAGAGCCTCATTCACGGGTAACCCAGGCATCGGGCTCCTTGGGGTACACAAGCCCAGCACTTGAAGGGGAGGTTGGTGTTAAACCTGCGCCGGCTCTCTCTGCCCCTGCAGCTCCAGTCCCGGGTCCCGGATTCCCTGCTGCACTTCGCCGAGTGCATCAGAGAGCTGCTGCTCTTCCTGGTGCAAAGCTGTCTGCTGCCACTGCTGGAGTGCGTGGCCGCAGCGCTTGAGCGGGGCTGGAAGCACTGTGTGGACTCCTGCAAGTGAGCATCTCTGCTCTCCTCGAGCCCCCCGGTGCTGCAGGCTCCGGTGTTTCTCTGCTTCCCCTGGGGATGATCTCCAAGCCCAGTGCTGCCCCGTGGCTGCCGGTGGGGGGGGTCAGTTCCTCAGTACAGCAGCAGAGTCTCCCTGTCCTGGCTGGGGGTGGTTCCTGATCCTGCTGGGGCAGAGGGGCTGGGACGTGGCACTGTGGCTGGTGTGAGTGACCTGCAGTCCCCCAGAGAGCTTGTACCCCTGTGGGAGCAGCGTTTGCCCTGTGGGCAGCGCAGGCAGGTGCCTCTGCCGCAGAACCAGCAGCCACCCTGAATTCTGCACCTGCTAAAGGCTGGGTACGCTCACCCATGTGAGTGGGCACCGCTGCCAGCTCGAGGGGCTCCCGTTTCCCTCCTGGGCTTGTAATGCTGGGGCTGTGTTGCTGTTGCTGCCTGCAGGTCTGCCTGCCCTGTAGACAGCGGGTTCCCTGCCTGTAACCTGTTCTCCTCGCTTTTCCAGTGGAGAAGTGTCGTGGGACTGCATGAGAGAACACCTGATAAGCTTTACCTATTCTTCTTGGATTTACCTGCAAAACACAACCCTAGCCGTCAAAAACTGGGCCTTGGCTATGATTTCTGGACACTGATCTGCTTTCTGGAGGAGTGGGGACACGGTTGTGCCATCTCCCGATGTTCCAGCCACCGAGGAATATCTTCAGCGCAACTTGGCGCTGGCCGCAGGATGGGGATGCCGAGGGAGATGCATATGGGGACTTTGGGCTCAAATTGGGGCTTACAGGGGAGGTTTTTTTTGTTTTGTTTTGTTTTTTCCTGGGAAACACAGGTCCAGCTTTTCCCACAGCTTTGGCTTTCCCTGTTCCACTGTCCCTGCTCTAGGTCTTAACCGCATCTGTGATCCCTGTACCTTCATGCTTTTGCCTGCAAGTGCATCTGCTCTGAAGCATCAAAGGATCAGAGTTGGACACCTGGATGTCTCCCCGCCCCACACCCACACACCCTCCCCCTTCCCATGGGTGAATGAACCACACTGATTTTTTTATTTCATTTTATTTTTAATTAGTGCTTTTTGTTCCTTCTTACTAAAGGTGCCTGTGGGGTGGGGGGCTATGCAGAACCATTTGGGGTGGGGGGGAACCGCTATAATTGCCATAATTTCCGTTGCTGATAAGCACCCCATGCCCCCTCCAGGGCTGTGTTGCCTGCGCAGGCAGCTGCCTGCACTCCTACAATGGAGCTGGGCCGGGGTAGATCCCCCTCTGGTCCCGGGGGCCCCCCCTCTCCCTCTGCGTCCCGGGCCGGTGTAGGGGGGTCGCTGGCGGCAAGGGGGGGGGCGGGGGGGGGGGGATTAGCTCAGATGGTAGAGCGCTCGCTTAGCATGCGAGAGTCAGGGGGATCGATACCTGCATCCTCCAGTTTTGTCTGGCGCGGCGAGGGCTGGAGGTGTGACGACACACACACGAGTGTGTGCGTACATGGTTATCCATTCGTGTGTTTTGACGTAATATGTGCACGCAGCGGCGCGCGCGTAGCCCGGCGAAGGGTGCGGTAAACGGGGCGTGGTCAGCTTTGGTGGGGGCGTGGTCAGATGGGGGCGCGGCCCTAACCGCGCTAGGGCTCTCGTTGCCGAGGCGCCGTCCAACGGGCGGGTACGTTGCTAGGGAGCGGTGGGCCAATGGGCGTGCGCGTTGTTGTTGCTAAGCGGCGTGGCGGGCCGGGCCGGGCCGGTGAGATGAGCGGGGCCGCGGCGGCCCGACAGCCATGGAGATCCGTTGCGGCGGGCTGCTCTTCAGCTCCCGCTTCGACTCGGGCAACCTGGCACACGTAGAGCAGGTAGAACCGCCCGGGGCGGGGGGCGGGGCGGCCCCGCGGCCTGGGGTGCCGCTCTCCCCGCCGCTGACTACGAGTTCAACGTCTGGACGCGGCCCGACTGTGCCCAGACCGAGTATGAGAACGGCAACAGGTAACGGTACGGCGCGGGGGGTGGCCGGCGGGGTCGAGGGGCTGGGGGGTAGCTAGCAGGGGCAGGGATACCCTGTGGGGAGGCTCATAGGGTCTGTTCCCCCAGCCCCAGGATCTGACAAGCTGGCGGGGCCGGCGAGGTCGGGGGTGGCCTGGGGAGAGGGGGGACCGGTGGGCTCAGGGGCTGACCCGGCGCTTCGGTCCCTCCCCAGGTCCTGGTTCTACTTCAGCGTGCGGGGGGGTGCTCCGGGGAAGCTGATCAAGCTGCACATCCTGAACATGAACAAGCAGAGCCGGCTGTACTCCCAGGGCATGTCCCCCTTCGTGCGGACCCTGCCCGTGCGGCCCCGCTGGGAGCGCATCCGCGAGCGGCCCAGCTTCGAGGTACGGGCACCGGGGATGGGGGCTTCTGCCGGGGGTGGGGGGGCCTCGGCTGAAGGGCAGTAACAGGTAGGGAGAGGAGGACCCTTTGTTCAGGGTTGGGGGGGCAGCTCTGGGGCACAAACACCCCTCACTTACCAGGCCGGGGTGATCTCCAGCCTTGCGGGGCAGGGCAGGATGGGGCAGGTGAGTGGCTGGTTTGTACTTTGGCAGCCCCAGGGGAGAGGGCGGGGGGGGTTAGTGATAAAGCCTCTTCCCTCGGCTGAGCACTCGGGAGCAGACGACCCAGTAGCTCTCTTCTCTGCTGGCCAGCTCTGGCTGGGGCGTGGGCTTTTGCTGGGTGATTTCCCTGTTGCATGATAGGGGTAGCCACAGAACTGCTCTCAAAGCACACCTGGTGCTTCCCTTCCTGTTCATCAGTCGTTGGAGTGGCTAGTAAATGGCTCTTTGTGGCAAGCCACACGACCTCAGGTTGCTCATGCCCCTGCGAGGGGAGCGGTGCTGGCCACAGGGCAGTAGGATGAGAGCCCAGGGAACCGAAGCCAGCAGGAAGAGCCATAGCAGCAGGTTGACTCTCACACCCCCACTAAGCTGTTTGGGCCTCAAACAGGAGTTTGCTGGTCCTGGCATTTTCTGTCTTCGGTCTGGGTAGGAGCTGCCTGGGGGAGAGTCACTTGCAGGTGCTCTGGGTTGTCCTTGCTCTGTGCATACTGCTGTGGGGAGGCCGCAAGCCCCTCAGCATGCCCCCCCCCCTTCTGCCCCACGGAACAGGGGCCAGAGAGAATCTCCCATCCCCTGACATAGGACAAGATGATGCTTGATTTGGCCCATGCTAGCACCAGGGAGAGACACAACATACACCTGAGCTTTGCAGCGCTCGTTAACTTTGTGAAGTGTGCTGAAATAGAGTAATTATTGTTCTGTCTCAGAGTGCTGGTGGGTGGGCATGAGAACTAGAAGGAAACCCCTGGGTTTCCCAGACAGCTCTGACCCAGAGCCAGGCATACACCGAGGCTTTGGCACTGCTCCGGAGACCCGAGTGCTGTGTGGCAGGGCAAGCAGGGAACCAAAGGCTTTGTAGGAAAGAGCGTGATGTTTCAGGGATCTGAGTGAAGCGGGCTGGGATCTGCAGGGAGCGCAGCTTTGATTCCCATGCAGTTAGGGAAGGGCAAGCGGCTGCAGGTACCACCTGATACACCAGAGAACTGGCGTGGCAGTGCTGGAGGAGAACCGCAGGGGCCTGTGGTGGCCATGGCTGCCTGGCCTGTGCCCGGGAGGTGGCTCTGCGTGCCCTCAGCTGGCTGCTTCTCGGGCCGTCCCTTTGCTCAGCCTCTGCTTTGTGTCTGTCCCAGATGGTGGAGACGCAGTTTGTGCTGTCCTTCGTGCACCGCTTCCTGGAGCACCGTGGTGCCACCACCTACTTTGCCTTCTGCTACCCCTTCTCCTACACGGAGTGCCAGGAGATGCTGGCACAGCTGGATGGCCGCTTCCAGGAGTGCAGGCACATGTCTCCCAGCAGGTGCGCACCCTCCCACCCCATTCCCAGCCCTCGCCCGCTTGGCTTTGCCCCTGCTGTGGAAGTGCAGTGTTGTTCAGCTCTTCCTGCAGTGGGGTAGAAGGTGGAGGGGGGTATGTGTCTTTGTGCCCCCCACTGCCCCCCGGTAGTTGCCTGATGCTTGCTCCTCTGGGCCCTAGCTCTGCAGGGGCAGCTGCAGCAGCTCCCCCCAAGCTCCTAAGCACGTGCTTCCGAGGGGCTTCCAGAGCGGCCTTTATTGCTTCAGACCAGATCCCTCTGGCATTCCTAAGGGCAGGTTCCCATCAGGCAGAAGAGGCTTGAGGAGGGGCTATAACAGAGCTGCAGCCCTTGGTTTAAGGAGAGGGGGTTCTTGGAAGCCAAGACCTCATTTGCTTTCCACCTCCTGGCTGCAGGAATGTCCGGGCATCTCTCTCCCACTGCTCCCTTCCTCTGCAACTGCTGTTGCAGAGGGAGATCTCCCTGCCAAGAGCCAGCCTCAGCGCCGGGCTCTTTGTGGATGGCGCTAGGAAGCTCCTCTGATCTCAAGAATTTCTCTTGAAAGTCAGAGGAGAACTTAACGCCCGGCTGAGGAGGACAGAGTCAGTCTTCAGGTGCCTCTGCAGATAACTGCCCTGCAGCCCCTCCTGGCCCCAGAGAGTTTCCGTGCCACCAGGCTGGGATCGTAAATACCTTTTCTTAGACAAGGGCTGAGCAATGGCTTATTGAAAAGGGTTTGTTCTTAAATTGTCATGCAACAGAGAACTATAAGAATTTCAAAATCTGGCAGTCAGTTGGTAAGACTCTAATGGCAATATCATAGTCTCTATGGGTCAAACTCACCTACTGATGCAAGGCCCCTGAGCCCCTCGGGATCACGGCAGGGCTGGGTGGTCCCAACCGAACCATCCCGCAGGAGGCCCCGGCTCCCTCGGCACAGTGGGAGCTGCCGGGGGCCTGGGTGGGGCCATCAGCAGGGCAAGGAGGGATCTCCACGCCGCGCAGGTGGGTCACACACAATCATGACATCGAACGCCCGAGGCCGGAGGCTGGTCCTGCAGCAGCACCCGGCAGGCTGTCTGGTGCCCAGGCTGTTGGTGACCCTGCACACACCTCACTGCTGCTGGGTGCTGCCTTGGCCACGGTGGGCTCCCAAAGGACAGGGGGCTGTTGCCTCCCCTGCCCATCCCAGCTGACACCCTTGGAGGTGGCCAGCCCCTCTTGCCAGCCAGGGTTTATTTCCCCGCCAGAGTAGTCTTGTGCTGCCACGGTGGGATGACCTGACGGCCACGGGTACCTCTGCTGGGTCTGGCTGTGCAAGAGCCACTCTCCTACTGCTCTCCGCAGCCATGGAAGGGGCCAGGCAGCATGACCCCAGGCCCTGAACCACCACTTTTTCCTCCAAAGGAATCCTCCTCGTGATCCTGGTGGACTCCGAGGGGAGCTGGCAGTGACCAGCTCAGCCGTGGGTGCCTGCAGGCAGCAGGAGAGGGTTTGGCAGTTTTGGTCAGGCTAGGGCTGTTGAACTCCTGGGGAGCAGAGTGAGCAGGGACACCGTCCTGGACAAGCAGCTAGAGGCAGAGCTCAGGGCTGTAGGTGCGGAGAGTGTCCCCTGCCCAGCTGGGAGCCCCCTTCGCTCCTTGAAGGCATCTCCCACAGCTGCCCACGGCAAGGGTCCGCGCCCTGTCCCTCAGTCCCCAGCCCAGCGGCATGCTCAGCTGGGATGGCAGCTGCGCCAGCCAAGCTGCTTTCTTCCCTGGTGGGGAAGGCTCCGACCCGTGCCTTCCCAGCTGACTGGGGCAGGCTGGCTGAGTGTTTCTCCTTGCTCTGCAGCTCCCTCGACTCTGTCTATTACCACCGGGAGCTGCTCTGCCACTCCCTGGACAAGCTGCGAGTGGACCTGCTCACCGTCACCTCGTGCCACGGCATGCTGGAGAAACGGGAGCCCCGGCTGGACAAACTCTTCCCAGACACGACCACTCCCCGGCCACGCCGCTTTGCAGGGAAGAGGGTGAGCTGCCGCCACCGGCTTTGGGGCTGTGTTGGGGACAGCGAGCATGGTCAGCAGTGTGTGGTGGCCTGTGTGTCGGCGCCTTACTGCCACCCTCGCATCTGTGACTTGAAAAGTGTCATGTCCTGGAGGGCTGGAGCATGGGGAGTAGAGAGTCTGTGAGATCCTGCATCGAGGTGTGGGAACTGGTTGCCTGCCAGGAGCCCTAGTGCATCTACTTAGCACCTTGAAATGCCCTCTGGTAGCACCACACACCTGTTCCTCAGGGCAAAAATTAGGGTCTCATTTCCTAGGAGTTTTGTTCTGTCCTTTTAACACTGTTGTTCTGTTAAGCTGTGAAGAAACTGATGGAAGGGCTGTATTTGGGGTGTCAGCCCCTGCTGCAGTAGGTGGGCCCTGCCTGCTGGGAACAGGGATGGGCAGGGAGCTCCTTCTGTGGCCAGAGCTGGGATGGGCAGCTGGGTTGCACCACACGTGCATCTCTTTCTGAGAAGCTCCCACCAAGAGAAGGGTTTTTTAGGAGGTGCTTTATGTTGTCGTTGCATTCGAGCTCATTCCCGCTCTGTGGGATCGCTTGGGGCTTTTCCCTGAGGCGCTTCTGCATCTCTGCTCCTGTGCCGCCCATGCTCTGGTTTCTCTTGGTAGCAGGCTGCAGGGCTTCTGTCCCTTTAGTCTCACACAGGGATAAGCAACCTTATTCCAAGTAGGACATGGGGGAGGCACTGGGCAAAGAAACCACTGAAAACTGTTGTGTTGCTGCACCCAGTACCTAGTTGTCTGCTCCACATAAAGACCTTAGCTGCATGTTGGGCAGCATGGTGCCTGGCTGTGGTGCAGAGGGGGGAGCCCCCCGGAGCGCTTGGCCCCTCAGCTAAGCCATTGCAGCATCTTGGGGCAGGCAGGAACCTGCCCATTGTCCCTGTCTTTTTGCCCTCAGGTGTTTTTCCTGAGCAGCAGAGTCCACCCGGGGGAAACACCCTCCAGCTTTGTCTTCAACGGCTTTCTGGACTTCATCCTGCGGGAGGAGGACCCTCGTGCCCAGATGCTGCGGCGGATGTTCGTCTTTAAGCTCATTCCTATGCTGAACCCTGACGGGGTGGTGCGGGGCCACTATCGGTGAGTGAGCTCAGGTTGCAGGTGCAGCTTTGCTGGGGTCCAGGCTGAGCTGTTCTCTCCTGGTTTGGAGTCTGTTGTGCATTTTGTGATGGCTGGGAAGAACAATCCCAAGATTCTGCGTCAGTAAAATAAGCCAAGGCCTGCAGGCTACAGCAACTTCTCCCTGCTACTCCCCGGGATCTGTGGCAAGGGCTTGGGGCTGCTGTTTCCTGCATAGGACATCTCCTGGATCAGGGCTTTCTGGCTTGGGTGAGCAATGCTGCCCTGCGCATTTGAGGCACTCAGATGTTGTCCTGTCCTTGCTCTCCCTGGACCAGGTTCAGGGAGGAGGGAGGGAGATCACTCAGGGCTCTGCCTTGCTGAGGCAAGTGCCACACTAGGAGAGAGGTTCTCAGCCGTTTTGGGGTAGAGTCCATTGCCTGTGAGGGGATGGTTTGGCCAATTGTGCTCCAGGATAGAGCCCAAAGCCTCGGCCGTTATGAGTTAAGGTCAGATCTGCCTTTGCAGAATGGATGGCATTGTGCAAAGGACCTCACATCTCCTCTGCTCTCTCCATAGAACTGACTCCCGTGGGGTAAATCTGAACCGCCAGTATCTCAACCCCGACGCCGAGCTGCACCCTGCAGTGTATGGGGCCAAAGCTGTCCTCCTCTACCACCACGTTCACAGCCGCGTCCTGCCGGGCTCTCCTGACTGGAGGACATACGTCTCCCCACTCAGCACCAGCTCATTAAGCACAAAATCTTCCAACCTTTCCGTCTGCAGCAGCACCCCATCCCCGGACGCAGCCCTGTCAGAGCTGGAGAAAGCCAATAACCTCCGCAACTCACCCAGCACCTGGCGTGCCAGCACATACTTCAGCCCTTCTCAGGAACCCCGGCTCTCGGGAGCACCTGCCACCGAGCTGCAAGGACTGGGCGGCAAGGACCAAGCTGTCTGGATCCTCCCTTCAAGCCACACCGCGGAGCACTGTGAGGAAGAAGCCAGGAGGCCTCCACCAGCACCTCTCCCCGAAACCATCCTGCCCCAGGACAGTGGGCTGGCCTACTATGTCGATCTCCATGGGCACGCCTCCAAGCGCGGCTGCTTCATGTACGGCAACAGTTTCAGTGATGAAAATGATCAGGTGAGGGCAGGGGGTAGGAGTACAGAGGTGCTGGAGCAGGCTGGGACCCTCACAGCTCTGCCCCATCTCCAGGGTCCCAAACGCTCCCTCCCACTGCTGGGAGAGGGGGTGGCACGTCCCTGTCACACCCTGTCAAGGCAGGGGCTGGGGTGCAGAGCTGACTGCCCTCCTTGCTTTTGGTGCTTGGTGGGGTTTGCTCTCCCTTTCCCCTCCCAGGGCCTGTGACCGGGGCAGCTGCAGCAGGTCTCAGCTTTCTCCCTGGCAGCTGGCGTGGGGAGGACAGAAGAGCTTACACCCCTTCTCCTAAGGGACGAGAGGGTGGGGGAGAGCTATGCCGCTGGGCTCCCTCCTCTCTGCCTCCATGAGCAGGCTGTCAGGAGAGCCCAGCTGCTGCCTCTCCCTGCTGGGGATGGGCAGGGGGCAGGCAGGGGTGGGCAGCATCCCCCAGGCAGGGCTGGAGCGTGTGAGACTCTGGAATTGAGCAGGGTGGGCCCAGCCAACAGCCCAGTGCATCCCAGAGCTTGGCACTGGTAGTGCTGGAGCAGGACAAACAGCCAACGGCTCTCCTCAAAGTCACCCGTGTTCCTCTCTGTACATTGCAGGTGGAGAACATGTTGTTCCCCAAACTCATCTCCCTGAACTCACCTCACTTTGACTTCATGGGCTGTAACTTCTCGGAGAAGAACATGTACGCCAAAGACAAACGGGATGGGCAGTCGAAGGAGGGCAGCGGGCGAGTGGCCATCTACAAAGCCTTGGGGATCATCCACAGGTAGGCAAACCTCTGCTCACTTGCTAAATGTCCATGCCAGCTGATCTGGCCCAGTTCCCCTCTGTCCTGGAAGGGGGTGGTCTTGCTGGAGGCAGCATGTTAAGGAAAGTTGAAACCACTTCTGTGGGGGCAGCTGTGCCCTGTGCGGCTCTCTGGTGGGGTTGGAACTGGCCAAGAGGAGTGTTAGGTGCTCGGTGTAGGCAGAGGCCAGGACCCAGCTGTGCCAGTTTACTGCCGCGTTTGACTCCTTTTCCTCTTGTATCTCCTGTCCCTTCACATCCCTCCTGCAGCTGCTCTGGCTTCTTGTCCTCGCTGTTGTAGAGCTGCTTGTGCACCGTCTTCCAGGAGGAATTCACCTCTTTCCCAGATGTTGATATTTGTAATGAGCTGTAATTAAAACCTGTTTAGTTGTAATGGGCTCAGCTTCCCTAGACCTTGCATGCAAGATTGCCATGCAAGATTCCAGTCTCAAGCAATCTGTGATTCTGTGGGTTGAGGATATTCGTGTGACCCGTAGCAGCCACATGTGCCTCTCCAACAAGGGGTGGGATATTTTTGGCCTGTTTGTTGTGGTTGCTGGGAACATAAAAACGGCTGAAGCAATCAGCCCAACAGCCTGTCTTACCCTCTTCTGGCCCCAGTGGTGGCCAGATGCAGATGCTGAGGAAAAAGTGCAAGAAGTGTGTAATGCTTCTTTAGAAGATGCTGCATTCCACAGGAATCTGTGGTTTGAGGAAATGTGGGAGCAGCACCAGGCTTCCTACCAGCCCTGGACTTCCCCCAGAAACCTCTGCACCCCTTCTCCTGTGAACAGCTGCTCTCTGTGGGTGCAGTTTCATTTTGCTGGCTTAGGCTGGTGTAGGACCAGGCTGCTGGCAGCGATGGTGGCACCCTTGGCTCCTTTCTCTCCCCCATTTCCTCAGCACTTGCTGTGCGCTCTGTTGCTTCTCTGCGCCTGGCCACAGGGCTGGGTCAGAGAGCCTGCTGATTTGGCTAAAACCAACCCTGCAGTAACAAATACACGAGTTTTTTGGGCTCAGGTTCCTGTTGTAGCTTGCTCTGTGCCCATTTGCTGTGGCTGGCAGGGAACGGCCCATGGTTAATCCAACAGCGACATCCCGAAACACAGTGGGGGTTCTGCTGGTGTCTGGAGTGCTCTCGGTGCCCGTGCTGCGCGGTACTGTACGGGCATGTCGGATGGGGAGGGAGACTTGCTGGTTTTCTGCGGTGTTAGCAAGATGAACTGTCTCTGAGCAGTCAGAGAGATGCAAGCAATCCTAGCTGGCAGCTCCCAGTCACCCTCTTCTCCTTCCTGCCTCTGGAAACGTGGTCTGGGAGCACTCACTCGGTGATTTCACAGGGACCAAGGGGAGGCTGACCGGCCACTTCGTCCCTGGCTAGTCTTTTGTGACAAGAGATGCAACATTTGCCTTTCTCCACCCATCAGGAACCACCCCCCACTCCCTGTCATCTTCCAGAGATGACTGAGAGGAGCCCCACAAGGACCTCGGCAGCCCCTCGGCACCCTTGGGTGCTGCCCCTCAGGGGCCATGGGCTCACATGGGGTTCTCCTGAGAAACATGACCCAACTTGATTATTGTCCATTTCTGGTGGTTTTCCTCCTGGAGCCTCATCTCCAGGCAGAGCGATCCTCCCACCCCACCCGCTGCTTTCTGCACTGGAGCTCCATCGCAAGTTCACTATCAGCCAGCTGATCTCCTGGCATATCTGTGCATCTCACTGAGTACCGGGATGGACCATTCCTGCAATTGGAGGATGCTGTCCTCAAAAAACTGCCACCTTTCCTAAGCTCCTTTGTCCTTCAGAACTGTCTCCAATGGGATCTGCCTTACTGGTGCACTGAATTAGCTGAAATCTGCTCTTCTGAGGCCCAGAGTCTGCTCTGCTGCTCTCCTCCCTTCGGGATCATGAACTCCACTATTTCACAGTCACTACAGACAAGGCTGATGTTTATTATCACATCCCCAGCTGACAAGTTCCTCCTTGTCCATGATCCAGCTGTGCATCACCCCTGGGTGGCCCATCCAGCACCCGTAGACCCATATCAGGAAGTAATTCCCCAACACCCTCCAGTGATCTGGAGGGCTCCAGCACTTTCTGGGGGATAGAAGCAATACTTAAGAGATGATTTCTTTTATATTTTTTCTCAACCCTGCTGAGCACAGGTGAATTTCTAGCACACGTCACATTGTGTAACAGACACACACAGAGTAACCGGGTGCCGTGTGCAGGTATTCATCAGGTACCTTAAAAGCCATTAGGTTTTTTTCCCCCACCTTGAAAATGCTGAGGGTGGAGAGAGGTCAAAGCTTGGAATAAAGAACACAGTAAGACAGCAAACAGAGAAACTGGAAGAAGGGCAGACCCCAATTAGTGTCCTTGGGGTCAGTTTACAAAACTCGGTGCCCAGCGGGACGCCCAGGTCTGTCTCTGTGGAGCTGCTCTCCCCCGGCTGGCCCCAGGGTTATTCCTCCCTGCAGCAGGACTTTGCCTTTCCCCGTGGGAAAGTGGGGAGGTCCCTGCCTGCCCCCTCCTCTAGCCTGGTGAGTCCCTCCCCAGGGCAGCACGACCTGCTGGAGCATCAACCCCAGCTCTGCATCCTCTGCAGCCTTGCTGGGGGCACATGCTGCCTTGGCACCTCGGGCACCGGTGAAGGGGCTCAGCATCCTGATATCCGGTACTGACCCGGGGGCACACTGCCAGTGCTGGGACTCCAGCTGGGCTCTGAGCCAGGCGCATCAGCCAGCGTCCAGGCCACCTCCCCATCCCCTGGCATTGCCTGTCCTTCATCTGCTCGCAGGCAAGGGTGGGGTGGGAGACAGTGTCCAAAGCCATAAGCCATCGCTCACGGCTCTCCCTCGGCCTCGGAGCTGGCCATTACATCATCAAAGGCTGCTGGGGTGGTTATGTGTGATTTCCCCTTTGTAAATCTGCTGACTGGTCCCAGACACCTTCTGTCCTTCCTGGGTCTCCAAGACCCTTTTCTCCATCATCTTCCTGGGGATCAAGGTGAGGCTGACCAGCCTGTGGGTGCCTGGCTCTGAAGACAGAGGTGACGTTTGCTTTCTCCCTGTCCTTGGGACCCACCTTGGTCACCAGGACCTCTCTGAGATAATCGGCAGCAGCCTCACCAGGATGTCAGCCGCCTCCCTTGGGACGTGCAAGGGTGTCCTGCCGGGTCCCACGGACCTGTGGTGTCCCAGCTGTGCAGGTGTGCTGAGCTGCTCGCCAGTGATGACTTGAGGTGAAGAAGGCATGGAGTACCTTGGCCCCCGTTCCAGTCAGCAGCTGGCTCACACTCTCCCTTGTCTTCCTTCTGCTACTGATGCACCTCTAGAAGCTGCCTTGTAGCCCTTCTCATCCCTCAACAGATTCAGTTCTAGGTGGGCTTTGGCTTTCGTAGCCCCATCGCTGCCCATTCAGACAGCATCTGTGTCCCTCCCAGGTCACCTCTCCCTTCTTCCAACTCTTGTGCAATTCCTTTTTTTTTTATCCAAGTCCAATCGGGAGCTCTGTGTTCATCCACGCAGGCCTCCTGACGCCTTTGCTTGACTTCCCACCTATCTGCGTGGGCTGTTCTGGAGTCGGAAGAGGTGAGCCCTGAAAATGAATCGGCTCTTCTGGCCCCCTCTCCTCACCAGGGCCCTGTCCCTGGGGACTCTTCCAAGGAGATCCCTGAAAAGGCAAAATCTGCTCTCCCGACGTCCAGGGCTGTGATCCTGCTTCTTACCTTGTTCCTTTCTCTCAGGCTACTGAGGTCCAGCGTTACATGGTCACCACAGCCAAGGCTGCTCCTGACCTGCACACCCCCAATCAGTTTTTCTTTGTAAGTATGAGGTCCAGCAGTGCCCACCCCCAATGCCCGTGTTAGAATAGCCCCCCCCGGGCAGGAGGCATCCCATTGGGTTGGTGAGGAGATGAGGCACCTCTTGACTGTGCTGCAGTGCTGGAAGTGTGCGGCAAGTTCCTCGGGAGGTTGGTGTGTGCTTTCTACTTTCTGGCTCCCACCCAGGGGGAGATTGGTAAGTCTCAGCCAGCTGGCAATGTCAGCCTGGACAAAGTCCAACTCTCCAACCAGACATGTATTCAGGATCTGGCATTTTTTAAAGAAAATTGGTCATTGTTGTTGTTAATAGGCAAGGTTGACATCACTGTAGTATCGTGGCTCCAGGGCACCAATCTTTTGCTATTTCAGTTTAACGAGGCTCAGCCCTGCTCTGGCCCCCTGAGCTGAGCTCCTGCCTTGCTCCCTGCATGGCACCTTGCCCTGGCAGCCAGGGAAGGCTGTCAGTCTGTCTGTTAGTCCCCCCTCCCTCCCTGCTCTGTCTGCAAAGTGCCAGCACCAAGCTGCTGGGGCGTGGAGTGGGCAGTGCAGGGCTGGGAGCAAGCGAGGAGGGGGCTGTGCTGGGCTACAGGACCCTCTGTCTCTGGAGAGGGGTGATCTGGGGCCCCTTCTCCAGCCCTTCCGCAGCTTGGGGGGTGCACACAGGGAAGGGCCCCTGGCCCCACGGTGATAGCCTGGGAACCAGTGGCTGGAGAGAGGGTGATCCCCTCTGCCTTCTGGAGCCCACTGAGCTGCCGTGGTGGTTAGCCCTGTGGGTGCCAGGACAGCATCGGCACACTGCGGCAGATGAAGGCAAGTTTCTCCTGTCGACAGGCTGTGGGGGATGCCCCTGCAGCTGAGCCATTTAACACCTCCCTCACACCAGTCTCCCTACAAGGCTTCGGCTTTGCCAGTTTTATTGGGTTTCCTCTGAGAGTTCCCACTTCCCCGTGCTCGTTACACACACTCCCGCTATCGGTTTGCAAACTATCAGGATACGCATCCTGGCCATATGTGTTTTTGCAAATCCCTCAGCTCCACGCATTGGCTGTGCAGCACGTCCGAGCCCGCACCTCCATCCCCTCCTCCACCACTGATCTCCTTTCCACTGCACACTCCCGGCTCTGCTGGCAGCACACCAGGCTGCTCCTCCGCACAGGGCTCGGCGGCGCAGACCTTCAGTGTTGCACCCACCGCTCTGTCCCAGTGACTTCTCACTGGGTTTTCCCTGGAAGTAGAGAGACACGAAGATGGCCCTGTGACTCTCTTGCCCCTTCCCTGAAGTCATGCAGTCTGTGCCACATCAATGGTCCAGTGTCTCATTGCCAGAAAATCAGTACAGCTTGAGGCTTTGCTCCTGGGGAACGACGTGCCACCCATTCTCCTGTGCCCTTTGTGAACCTCTTGCCCTGTCCTTAAGCATGAACTCACCAGGGATGACTGCAGACCCTTTTAGGATAATCAGAGAACATCTTTTGGTAGTCGCTTCACCCTGAAAAGCAGTTGGGGTGTCCCTAGCAGCTCTGGGTGCCTCGACTGCTGATTTAAGGTAAGAGGTGGGTACACTGGCACTTTGGGAGATCGGTGCTCAGCAATAGCTGGCCACTCCTGCTCCTGCTCCTGCTCTCCAGCTGCCCCTTAGCCAGTCCTTTCTTTGGCATTGATTTCAGAGTCCGGTTCATTGACCTGTGACACAGGTGCCTCTCCTGTCCTCAGCACACCTCTGACTTCCACCTGATGGCCAACTGTTGCTTTTTTTACCTCCTTTATTCCTACCTCAGCGGACGAGAAAATGCAGTGCACGTGAAGCAGGTTGCAGCAAGAGCTGCGGCTCAATGGCAGGAGCCACGTCTTCTCTCCAGACTCCCCTGGGGAGCCTTCCCTCCCAGGGTTGGGGGACAGAGTGTCTTCTAAGAGGCAGCAGTAGTGCTGCTGTGCTCGGGCAGTGGTGGATCCATTGGGTAACGTGGGCTTCTTTGTGCTTCACAGCTACACACTGGAATGCAACTACAACACAGGGCGCTCGGTGAACAGCATCCCCGTGGCCTGCCATGACAATGGGAGGGCCAGCCCGCCGCCCCTTCCTGCCTTCCCCTCCAAATACACCGTGGAGCTGTTTGAGCAGGTAAGGGGAAGCCCAGCGGCAGAGCGGCTGGGTGTGCGCAGCCCTTCCCTGCCCTGAGTGCTGCAGGCAGGACTTTCACCTCCCAGGAAGAAACTCTCACGTTCTCTCCTGCTTCTGCACTTGTATGTCCCCATGAAAACAGCGCAACTCCTGTGCTGGTCCGTGGTGCGGATTTGGAGAGCTGTGTGAGAGACAGGGTGTTCTCAGTGTCAGTGCCGTAACCTGTCGGTACGTCCCAGCCCACACCAGCCTGCGGGGCCGTCTGTGACAGCCCCCGCCACTAGCCCCAGCCCCAAAATGCTTTGTCCCCTGGCTGGACTGGAGACTTCTGCCCTCAGCCTCTGGGGCATCCCAGGGTTGTCCCTGCGCATCTCACACCACTGCTGACACATGTGGTCCCTGGTCCCTCCCTGCTGAGTGTAGGGCTGCCTGCTTGTCTAATGCCTGCAGCGAGAGGCAGCAGGTCCTGGTGGCTGTGGGTGCCTGACTCGCCCTGGCCCTGCGTCCATGCTGTGCGCCTAGAGACTTCCCACGGCAACACTCCTCCCACCAGGGAGCTCGATCGGAGTCTGTAATGGAGATGAAATGAGCTCAGGGGGGTTGTCTGGAATTTGGGGTTGGGTTTTCTTTCCTTCCTTTGTTTTTTCTGCCTCAAGTCCTAGAGAGTTGCTGCTCTTTCTCAAGGTCTTTCTCACCAGTTGCCTCTTGCAGGTCGGGAGAGCCTTGGCTGTGGCAGCACTGGACATGGCAGAGTGCAATCCCTGGCCCCGGATCGTCCTGTCAGAGCATAGCTGCCTCAGCAACCTGCGAGCCTGGATGCTGAAGCACGTGCGGGGCATGAAGGGCACAGGCGGGGGCCCACGGAGGAGAGGAGGTGCCAGGACCCCCCCCAGGAGCTCCACGTAAGCGCCTGCCGGGTTGAGTGTTCAAGAACTGCAGGATAACGCCAATTAGAGATGATAAATGTACTCCAAGTGAGTTACCCTGCAGCTAATGAAGCCAACATTTGTTTGCTTGCTTTCCCACCTTGTTGGGGCCCGTGCTTGTCCCTGCAGAGTTTGCTTTGTGAAGGGTATCCCTCAGCTCTGAGTCATCGGCAGGCCAGAGGGGCACGCAACCTTGCAGGGTGAAGCTGTTTGGGATTTACCTGCCCCAGTAACCTGGGAAGTGGTTATCTGTCCGCAGAGAGAACCAGCATCTCTTCTGTTTCTCCCCCTCCCCAGCCTGGTCCGGCGCTGGACTGGGATGGATTTGGGACTGGGGGTGAGGGAGTGGGAACTCTGAAACCATGCTGCTGCACCGAGGCTGCCAGGACAGCGATGTACAGCGTGGGGGACTGGGGTCTGCTGCTGCTGAGGGACATCCCCTTGTGACATGGGCTCTGTTCCTGTCCCCCGCCGCCTGCCAACGGCTGGGGAAAAGTCCGGGGGTCTGACAGAGATGGTGTATCAGCGGCATCAGCAGCCTAACACTCAGTGCCTGGGCTGGAGACGACAAACCTGCTCGGCAGGAGCGGCGGAGAGCCGGCTGGGAAGGAATGGGGGTGCACAGAGGTGGCCGGTGGGGGGGACCCCCTCTCCACAGAGCCAGGCTGAGCCTCCTCTTTCTCATCCCATTCCAGCGGGCTTCCCACCTCAGCCTCCGATAACGCCCTGTCCCGCATGAGGAGCTTCAGCAACGGCACCAGCGGGAGCGGCAGCAGCCAGCAGGACTCGCCGCAGATCAAAGCCTCCCCCAGCTTCACCTTCAGCTGCAGCAGGCCCTCGGGTCCGGCCGCTGTGAGCCAGAGTCTTCAGAAAGGCAGCGCCAGAGCCCCAGCACCGGGCAGAGGTAAGCTGCGCTGGGGACCTCTTGTGCGCTTGATCCAGTACCTGTCGAGCTGCTGTGTGAAGCCGCAGCCCTGAGGAGAGCTCTGTGCCAGCGTAACAGTGTGCTTTGACGTAATAAAAGTGGGTTTGCGTGGAAGAAGTGCGTGTGAACCGCCGCCCCCTCCCCTTGGAAGGGTCCTGGATGCCGTGCTCAGCTCTGTGCTGTGTCCCGAGCAGAGCAGCCCTGGCTGAGTCAGGACAGACGCCACACGGCGAGACCCGTGGCTCCTCCAGCACAGCTTCTGCAGGGAACCAAGGGGGCCTAGCTGAGCTCCTGCCCAACGGCTCTGCAGCCCCTGGCTGGGCAGAAGCTGCCTGCCACTTCTGTTGCACCGAGATTGCAGGGACTCTGTCCGCTGTGGGCTGCCGGGGGAGATGGCCCTTCCTGCACTGGTGGTGCAGGGGCCAAGGGGTTTCTGGAGAAGCCAGCACAGAAAACCTCCGCTCAACTTCCCGAGGCCTCAGCTGCTCCCAAAGCATTCCCAAGGCCTGTAGGGATACACCAAAGTGCCTTCTCCCTTCCCAGGCACCTGCTGAGCAGCAGTCGATCATGGCACATGACTGTGGTCATGGTGAGGCAGGCTAGCAGAGCTGTAATTAGTCACTGGGGGCTTTGAACACACGGTGAGTCCTGTCCGGTGGGGGCCAACTCGCAGCACCAAGCTGCCAAGCCACCTGCACAGCTAGGAGAAAGGCCCTGGCTTACCACCCCGACTCTGGCAGCGGGAGGGTGCCAAAACCAAGGCAATGCTGGCTTCCTCACCATGGGGCAGGGGGCTCAGCACCACTGCAGGCTGTGGCAGGGCAGGCAGTGCTGCTCCAGGCCCCTTGGGGGTTCAGAGCTGCAGCTGGCTGGCCGATGGTGGGGAAAGCCCCAGTGCCCCATGCTATTCTGTGGGCTGGTCCCACAGGCCCCCAGCTGAGGAAACGGGGCTGGACTGGGAGCCCCAGTCGGCTGTGGGGCTCTGGAGGCCAGTGAGCACCGTGCTCTGAAGTATCCCAGTGCCCAAAGATCAGAGGTGTGAGAGTGAGGGTCCGCTTTCGGGGCGGAGGGGGCTGCCTGTGTGACTCTGGGTGTGACTCTGAAGCTGTCGTTGTGTCAAGGCTCTGTGTACTGGTGCTGCTCTCGGGAGAGATTGCTGCGTTTCTGACTGTAGGCTTGTTTCTCGTGCTCCGCCTGTGTTTCTCGCATTGCTTCGTCCTCCATGTTTGCTTTCCAGCACTTTGTAGTGACTGTTTCTCATCTGCCATGAGAACATGGTGGGGAGGAAATAAAAGGCTTATGTTGTCATGGGCACATTGTAACGTCTGTTCCTTCTGCCGTGCATGCTTGAGCCACCCCAGAGCCAGCGGGAGCAACCCACTGGCCCGATCCCCAGCTGCCGGGGAGTCGGTGATAGTTGGGCGCGTGAGCAGGAACAGACCTTGTGGGGCTGGAGGGGAAGAGCCTGTCTCCATTGGATGGATCAGTGTCGTTCTGCCTCCCTAGCCTGCACTCTCTGCTTGCTGGCTGCCGGTGTGGTAGCTGGGTGCTGTGTGCACGGCCTCCAGCAAGGGGAGCTGTGACCGGCAGAGCCAAGTGCCTGGTGGGATGCTGTGCTCTCGTGCTGGTGGAGCCCCGGCTGCCTGGCTCGTGGGACTGGGATGTGGCTCTTCCTTCCCTGCCCCGGCAGCACCTGGCAGCTTGACCTTCTGTGTGCCCAGTCTGGCTGGCACCCCCTGCTCTGGCTGCCAGCAGCTTTCCCTGCTGCCTCAGCCAGCGGTGCCAGCGCTTTGAGCGTGAGGGCCCTGGCAGCACTGGCACTGCCATGTCTGCACAGGGAAATGCGGCCCAGGAATGCTTTGACCCCACGGCTTTGCTTTACGAGCACCATGCCACTGCCCTCCGGTCAGGGGTCCCATCCCGGAGTGGTGCCGGGATGCTGTCACAGACTCTTCCTTCCCCAGGCAGCCGGGAAGGAACCAGGAATGCTCTAGGTCCTGCCTGCAGCCCCAGCGGTCGCCAGCCAGGTGTGATGAGGCGATGGTTAGATGGCACAGGATGAAGTCACTGTGCCCCAGTTGTGTTCCATCCTTCCCGTTCCTGCACACGTGCTGCTGAGATCTTTGTCCATGTGGAACAGGCAGGAGCCAGTCCCCACAGACAGGACATCATGCTCAGCTATCCCCACCGGCCGTGCCCCGAGGGTGAGGGGAGGCTGCTCTCTGCTGTGGCCCTGCAGGACAGCTGTCCCCTGGTGATGGCTGGGTTACACGGAGGAGGATGTCCTGTCCAGGACCTGCTGCTCAGATGGGGCCCCTGACAAGTGTCAGAGACATGTCCCGCTCCCAGCTGCTTCTTCCAAGCCTTGCAGGAAGGGAGCCCTTTCCTGGTGGGCTCCAGCCACAGCCCTCTGGCATGGCACAAACCTAAGCTGTCTGGTGGCCGCAGGGCCCCCCCTGCCCTGCTGTCTCTCCACTGTGCCACCTGGCAAGCCCTGGCTGTGGCAGAGACTGGTGTCCCTGCAGACATGGTGGGGAGTTCACCCAGCTGGCTGCAGGGGTGCAGCCGTCACCAGTGATCAGCAGAGCCACGGGCGCTGCCCGGGCGAGGTCTTGTCTGGCAGCTGCCATGTCTGAGGAGCAGAGGTGCCCAAAAAGGGGGCCAGGGAGGGGAAGGGCAGGTCTCTGTGCGAGTGCGGGAGGAGAGGGCACAGCCTGCGCCTGTGCAGTGCTGCCGCAGGAGCTGCTTTCCCAGAGGGCTGCTTTGTCGGGCTCTCCTCAGACACCTCGTGCTCCAGCCCCAATCCTCTCCACAGCTCCTGCTCCAGCCTGCCCGCATCGGCCAAGCCCCTGGGAACCCAGAGGGGACCTGTGCTCTGCACATGGCTTCACAGGTGGGGGGGGGGGGTGGGGGGGGAGTGTCTCTGCAGAACCCCTAGTGACCTTCTTGTCTGTGCAGCCTCAGCTGCCCTGGCCTTTGCTGGCTGGAGTTCATCACCAAGTTGTGCCGTTTCGGTTGTGACAAGTCCAAGGTTAAGAGTTGTCACTCACCAGTACCATCCACTGTTGCCTGTAAAGCCCCACCACCCAGAGAGTGCTTCAGCACACCGCAAACTTGCCCCAACCCAGACTTTGCCACAGCCTGGCTCCTGCCTGCTCCTGCTCACAGGGTCTCATTTGCTGTGGGGTCCCACTGTTGTTCGTGGCTTACTCGGGTGTTTTACGTGGTGTCCGTTTCCCAGGGGACACTGTCATGGTTTCACCCCGGGGGGCACCTCAGCCCCCTGCTGTTACCCACTCGCTTGCTCTCCCGATGGGATGGGGGAAAGAACAGGAAGGGTAAAAGGGAGAAACCTCCTGGGTTGCGATAAAGACTTTAACAGGGAAAGCAACCCTTGCCTGCACGCTGCGCCTTCCCTGTCCCCCTCCTCGGCTGCCGAGCGATTGCCATAGGCGCGGGACAAGTTTGTCAGCGCTGCCAGCTCAGCCAGACAGCGTGCGAGTGCTCTTAGGGCTGATCCTGTCTGATGCCATCAGCGTGGCTGGGTGTACTGGTGACTTGTGCCCAGCATGCTGCTGGCCTCCATGTTGGTGCTGCCCAGCCAGCCCCAGCCCATTCTCTCCAGGTGCAGGGTTCTGCGTCTTCCCTCCAGCCGCCTGAGGTTTCTCTTGCCCTGTTTTGGCAGCCTGCGTGGCCCCGCTGATGAATTGCAGCCCTCGTGGCATCGGTTACTTCCCCAGCACAGTTCTGCCTATGGCTTTACTGAGGGCACCGTGGTCCTACCCTGCCCAGCCGTGCCTGCCCCTGCCTGTCTCCCACACCGCTGCCGAGCACCAGCATGGGTGCAAACCCCAGTCCTCAGCCACAGCCTTGTCCTGCAGCAATCGAGCTGTCTGTCTGGTGCTGCTGCTTCTGGCTCCGACTCTGGTTCCCACCAGCGGCCCTGGCCCCATGCTGAGCCATCGAGTGCCTGTCATGGTCCTCCCCGCTGGCACTTCGGCAGCTGCCAAAGTGGCTGCTCTTGCTCTTCGGCTTTGGGGCTGTGCCTCATGCCTGTGCCGTGGTGGGGTTCCAGCCCCAGCGAGCAGCTCTGTCCTGGCTTTCCTGGCTAAAAGGAAACACAACCGCAGCCAGGTCTCGTGCGGGACAGGGGCTCAGTGCATGGCTGCTGCAGCCACAGGGAAAGGTGCCAGCATAGGGAGGCAGCATCGGCGGGGGGCCACTGCCCTGGGCACACACCAGCCTGTGCCTGGGTGGGTCTGGGCAGGTGTCAAGCCCCAACGGCCACCGCAGGCCAGTGTGGCTGCCGGCAGTCCTGGCTCCTCCTGCCAGAGCTGCAGCAGCTCCATGCTGCTGCCAGCACCACCAGCACATGGGTGTCCGTGTGTCTGTCCCACTTCGTGCCGCGCCGGGCCCTGGCCCCTCCTGCGCACTCGCAGCGTGGGCCACATCCTGCCTGCGCGGAGCCTGCGGGCAGAGCAGTGCTGCCATGCCTGCCGTGCCCAGCCCACCAGCCACCGAGGCTGCTGCAGCTGCCCGGGGCACAACTGGCAGCTGTGGCTGGGTCAGCTCCCTGCCTGTGTGGGCCAGGCAGCTGCCCAGCCACAGCACAACTTGGTGAGGGCTCTGCACCAGCCCCGGCACTTCCCACCTCAGCAGCACTCAGGACTCGGCCAGGCCATGCCGATCTGCACCGCAGCGGTTCTGTGTGCCCAGGGCAGGCAGCTGGTACCCCTGCTGCAGCTCACAGCCCCCCTTGCCGACCCCAGCATATCCCTGGCATCCCCAGCGTGGGCTGAGCTCTGTCTCATTTGTCACACAGGGACCCTGCTGGTGGGCGCCCGGGCAGCGCCCAGCACCGGCACCAGCCACGGATCGCGGGAGGCCCAGCGCGGCGTGGGAGAGCCAGCGGCTACTCACAGCACAGCACTGCTGCAGGTACCGCTGGGCACCGGCAGGGCCTGGGGCAGGGAGCCTGGGGGGATAGCAGGGCCCTGAACCCCCACTCTGGTGGTCCCTGAGCCCTGGGAGGGGTCTGCCCCATAACTCTGCCAGCCGGGCCTGGGGGATGTGGGGCTGGGGAATACCGGGGGGCACACCAGGCCCAGTCTGTGCTGGGAGCTGTCAGACCCCCCTGGAGCACGTGGGGTACTGCACACCAACAGCCCAGGCTGGCTGGGGGTCTTCTCTAAAGAGCTTGGAGAACCCCCCATCTCTGGGGCTGAGACTCCTGGTCTGTGGGGCTCTGCCAGGAGCTTTTTTGCCCCATGTGCATTTTTTCTGAGCTGTGCAGACACCACTGGTGGCAGGGGTCCGGTTCTGTAGGACCCCCAGCAGCCGTGGGGGGTCCCACAAGACCAGGGACAACCACCCCTCCTGGGCACTGACCCTCCCCTCCCCGCAGGCGCTCCCGAAGAAGCTGGACACCAGGAGAGCCCCAGAGCAGCCCAGGTAGGTGCTGGCATCAGCCACAGCGTGGGACCGTCCCACGGCGTGGGGTCGTCCCTCAGCCAACCCAGAGCCCGTGCCGACGCCAGGGTGGCGGGAGCCCTGAGCAAAGCTGCACCCTCTGCCCCAGCGGCATCCACCAGCCCCGAGAGGGGCTGTAGCCCCTCACTCCCAGCAGCCCCCTCAGGAGCGGCGTGTGGTTCTCCGCAGCCTGGGGGGGCCTCCCCTGCGCCCCAGCAGGATCCCTGTGCGGAGGAAGGGGGCAACGACCGGCCAGAGCCTGCTGGGGCTCCACGCTGACAGCACCGCAGCCCGCCGGGCCGGGAAGCACAGCCATGGCAGGCCCTGGGCCTCGCAGCCTCCACCAGGTAGGGCACAGCACAGCCCTGGTGCCAGGGCTGCTGCGGTACCCCCTCCGGCAGGGCCCGGCACAGGGCTAGGGGGCCGCAGCGCCCATCCTGCATCTGGCCCTGCTCACCCTGGCACAGGAGGGCACCAGCACCCCCCAGGAGCCCCCGACGTGCTGCAAGAGGCAGAGGGGGCGCGGGGGGCTAGGACCCCGACAACCCCCAGGCATGGGGGCTGTGGGGGCAGTGCTGGTGCATAAAGGCAGCCCAGGGGATGCCCCGGCCTGGCCCCACGCTCTGCTGGCACTGGGAGCACCCGCGTGCCCCTGTCCCACCAGTGGCGACGCCGGTCTCTGTCCCTGCAGGGCTCTGCCAGGAGGCCCCCGCACTCCCCGGGGGGGTGCAGAGCACCGAGGGACTCTTCCTGTGCGGGGGCAAGGGCCTGCACCCCCAGGTATGGCCCTGCGGCATTGGGGGGGCTGCGGTGTGGGCAGGGGGACCTCAGCCCTGCTTTGCCCTGTGCCGGCAGGCCCTGGGCAGGGGCCGCGGTGCTGGGGAGGGGGCTCCAGCCCCTCTGCCCTGGCCCGTGTGGCCGCGGCTCCTCTCCACCCTGCTCTCCTGCACCACAGTGCCCGCCAGGCCCAGCCCGTGCCTCGCTCAGCGCCTACCGGCAGCTCCTCTCCTTCTGCGCTGAGGCCTGACCACAGCCACCAGCACTGGCCCTGCTGCTCGCCGGGCCCCACGCCACCGGCCTGCACCGTGTCTGCACCCATGCTTGGGGCAGGGCCGGGGCACCCCCCCACAGCCGCTGTGGCCCCCCCAGACCAAAGCTGCACCAGTGCAGAGCCTGAGCCATGGCGGCACCAGGGGCTCCGGACCCACTCTGCTGCTCAACCCCCTCCCCGCCGGGCTCCAGGCACAACCACCTGCTCGCGTGGCACCGTGCCTACTCCCAGCTGTGGCCATCATCGCCCAGGGTGCCGGGGCCGGCTCACATGTCTCACCATGGCTCACCGCAGCGCCCGCTCCTTGGTGACGGCGGACTCCCACCCCAGGATGGCCCCGCTCCTCCCCGCGGGACCGGCGGAGGGACCTGGCGCGGGCGGGAGATATTTTTACATCACACGGTTTCCTCTTGTATTATCGTGTTTCCGTTAAAGTTTGTTTGGAAGAAGCACGGCCTCCCGCCTCAGCGTGGCACCGCGGCGGGCACCGCCACGCTCCGGGCGAGGGGCCGTGCTTGGCCAGGCCCTGCTCCACCATGGCACTGTGCGGCTCAGCTCAGCGCGGCCCTGTTGGGGGAAGAGGGGTGAGCGGTGCCGGTGCAGGGCAGGCGCGGTGCCGGTGCCGGTGCCGTGTCTCACCGCGGGTGCCCTCACTCCTGCTTCTTGGGGTTGTTGACAGCCACATAGTGGTAGAGGACGACGAGGAGGAAGAGCGAGACGCCCAGCATGTTGGCGAAGATGGCGAGCTGCACGTCCGTGATCATCCTGCGGGGGGGGGG